ACATTTACTGAGGTTAAACTCTAGCAGTCATTTGTTGGACCATTTCTTCAGTTCGTCCGGGTCATCTTGAAGTCTCATGATATTTATTCTCTGTCTTAATCCTTCTCATAATTTTGGCATCATCAGCAAACATTGAGAGGAATGAGTCTGTACCCTCTAGGAGATCATTTACGTATATCAGAAACATGATTGGTCCAAGTACAGAGCCCTGTGGGACTCCACTGGTGACTTCACGCCAATCTGAGGTCTCACCCCTCACTGTAACTCTCTGCTTCCCATTGCTTAGATACTCCCTTATCCACTGGAGCACCCTACTAGTTACTCCAATTTAACAAAGCCTGTTTCTCCAATTTATGCACTAGCCTCTTATGGGGTAATGTGTCAAAGGCTTTCTGACATTCCAAAAAAACGCAGTCCGCCCAGCCTTCTCTTTCTTATTTAACCCTTGTCACCTGGTCGTAATATCAACTACGACCTGTGAGGTGCAAAAACTATTAAAACCTGTGAGGCAAGATTTGCCAGCGTCCTGATCCCATGTTGGTGGTGTCACGAAGTCCCTTCTCTCCAGATCTGTTACAAGGTTTTTTCTCACGGTGTATATTCACCTATTTGTATTCACCTATTTGTGCTTGCGGGGGTTGAGCTCTGCTCTTTTTGCCCGCCTCTCAACTGTCAATCAACTGTTACTAACTACTTACTAATTTTTCCCCACTACACACACACACCCAGGAAGCAGCCCTTGACAGCTGACTAACTCCCAGGTACCTATTTACTGTTAGGTAGCAGGGGCATCAGGGTGAAAGAAACTCTGCCCATTTGTTTTTCCACCGGCTGCCGGGATCGAACCCCGGTCCCTTGGTCCACGAGTCTTGAGTGCTGGTCACTCAGCCAACCAACCCCAATGTGTGTGTGTGAGAGAGAGAGGGAGGGGGAGAGAGAGAGAGAGAGGGGGGGAGAGAGAGAGAGAGAGAGAGAGAGAGAGAGAGAGAGAGAGAGAGAGAGAGAGAGAGAGAGAGAGAGAGAGAGAGAGAGAGAGAGAGAGAGAGAGAGACCGTAGATTGATAAAGGAAAACATGTCTGGAGTCATTACATTAGACAATTAGTTAGAAAGGCGGGATCCAAGAGCTAACAGCTCGATCCTGCGGCCACAAATACTAAATACAAATAGTAAACAGTGTATTATACACATACATACATATAAACAGGACCAACTTATTAAGGAATAGATATATATGACCAATTTATCATTCAAGCCAGAATTCCTACCATTTGTCCACCCAGACCAGTACCCAGACTCACCTCTCACAGCCTCACCTCTCACAGACTCACCTCTCACAGACTCACCTCTCACAGCCTCACCTCTCACAGACTCACCTCTCACAGACTCACCTCTCACAGACTCACCTCTCACAGACTCACCTCTCACAGACTCACCTCTCACAGCCTCACCTCTCACAGACTCACCTCTCACAGACTCACCTCTCACAGACTCACCTCTCACAGACTCACCTGCATGGTACAATAACACCTGTGATTACTCTGACCTTTGATCACAAAAGAGGTTCCATTTATTGGCACCCCCCTTCCCCTTCCACCTCTACCTCCCCATCCGTTCCTTTGAATCCTATTCCGACCCTTCCCACATCGTTCCCCTGACTTTCCCTTCCCTCCCCATTCCGACCTTAACCCCATCCGTAATCCTGACACCCCCTGCATTCCGACATTCCGACCCGTTGTGTTAACGACCCCCCCCCCCCCTCATTCCCCCCTATTTCAAGCCTACTACTCCATCTATTCCCCTCCATTACGATCCTAGTTACACCTTCCGTTCTAGTGTAATGTCCCAGACACTGCTGTTTGTACCGCCTACCCTGTCACCCTTTGTAACGTCTGTGATGTTACCCACTTTGGGATAAAATAGGCTCGCCCTGTCAGCAGTAAACACCCAATATTCCACAGGGGTGAGAGTTAAGAGCACAGTACGACAACACACTGAATTTTGTATCAACAAAGGATAATTACTTGAAATACCTAATTGAACTCAATGCTGCCACCACTGTGTATTTATGTATTTATGGTACAATTTATGGTAGGTTAGAGTAGCATTTTAAAAGCACTATACAATCAATTTCTGTGGTTGATTGTTCAATAAATCCCTGAACTATATGTTTACCAGATCTCTCACCCTGTCCATGGAGGACAAAAGAAAATGTATATATATGCTGGTTAGCATTGTAAATGTGTGGCCACGTCTGTGGTAGAAAATAATAATAATTATAATAACATACAAAAAACTCTCCCTTCTTTAATACTGTAAAATTTACTAACAAACTCGTTCCTGACTCGCAAAGAGGAAAGTCAAGACTTTGAAAACCAGGAACTTAGAAACCTTCTTTGACAATTACTAAGGATATAATTCTGAATTATTAATTCTGGAACTTGTTAATAATTACATAAGATGTTTATTATTATTATTTATATGCTTTTGAGAATCATGAGATTCTCCAGACAGCCAATCAACTCAGGAAACTCCAGGTGAAATATTCTCAGCAAAATGACTGGATAAATTAACTGAAATACCAAATAACTTTGGTATTTCAGTGACAGTATTTATTTACATAAATTCTATGTTTGGTAACGAAACATAGAATTTATTATTATTATGAATTAGTGACTAGAATTAGAATATTCAATTCTAAATATCAATGAGAAACAATGTAATCGACTATTAATTAATCCGACTCAAGAGGAACAATTCACCTTACATCTGCACTCTGGACAGGTTGTAAATCAGCAACTCTCCCCCTGTACCCTTATACCCACACGGGTATAAGGGTACCCTTTACCCTTATACCCACACGGTGCCCAGTCTATTAAAGAGTCATTAAAGATATTACACAGACATGCTATGACACTCCAGCTTCTAAGGCACTCTGACTACTCCCCTGGCACCCAGGAGCCAGTCACAGACCTTGACACCCCAGAGCACCCAAAGGCACCCAAGGGCACCCAAGGGCCAGTCACAGACCTTGACACCCCAGAGCACCCAAAGGCACCCAAGGGCACCCAAGGCCACCCAAGGACACCCAAGGGCACCCAAGGGCACCCAAGGGCCAGTCACAGACCTTGACACCCCAGAGCACCCAAGGGCACCCAAGGGCACCCAAAGGCACCCAAAGGCTCCCAAGGCCACCCAAGGGCTCCCAAAGGCGCCCAAAGGCTCCCAAGGGCCAGTCACAGAATCTGTCTAAATGACTTGACGTACTCAGGGTAGTGGTCGCCCCAGTTCTCATGGGGAAACAGCCAAGTGCCCGGACTGTGTCACCTGACCTTGTCACCTGACTGTCACTCAAGTGTCAGTTGTCATGCTGACACTGATGGAAAGGGGAGCGAGGAGAGGCTGGAGACTGGAGGTCAACCTGGCCTCCAAGAGCCTAGCCTGGAGGTTGGAGGTAAGGAGGAGGCCAGTGAGAGAAATTGGTTTATTTGGATTAATATTATATTATGAACATGAATTACTATATATATATATATATATCGTGTGAATGTGTGCGCAGATATATATATTATTATTATTATAAGCAACTATGTGGTGCTTCGGAGCTCATTAACTGTTTAATAACTGCAAACAAAGTCACCATGATTGAGGAAAGATGCACAGATTTCGTCAATTCTTAATGTATCATGAATCTGGACTTAGTTGAGGACTAAAACATACTTGCTGGTTGGTCAATGGTGGTCTTAATGGGCTCCAGAGAGTGATAGTCTTTAAGTAAACCCCTTAAACCACCTCAAAGACTTTTTAAAAGTGGTCTGTCGGGGTAAGTATTGAATGGGAGACCTAGAATTGTCTGATTGCAATACGGCCTACACAAGCCTGATTTAATTAGTTTACAAACACATAATTTACTTATTCTGTAGGAACCGCAGGACCGGATTAACTGAATTTGATGTCAAAGTTGGGTATTAAAAAAAGACTTTATTTACAGTCATTAAAGAGGTATTTACCGTCATTAAAGAGGTATTTATAGTCATTAATGAGGTATTTACCGTCATTAAAGAGGTATTTACTGTCATTAATGAGGTATTTACAATCATTAAAGACGCATTTACAGACATTAAAGAGGTATTTACAGTCATTAAAGAGGTATTTACAATCATTAAAGAGATATTTACAGACATTAAAGAGGTATTTACAGACGTTAAAGAGGTATTTACAGTCATTAACGAGGTATTTACAGTCATTGAAGAGGTATTTACAATCAATAAAGAGGTATTTTCAGTCATTAAAGAGGTATTTTCAGTCATTATAGAGGTATTTTCAGTCATTATAGAGGTATTTTCAGTCATTAAAGAGGTATTTACAGTCATTAACGAGGTATTTACTGTCATTAAAAAGGTATTTAGTCATTAAAGAGGTAATTTACATTATTTTCGTGATTATTATATTTGTAAGTACAGTATTTAACAATCTTTAAAGTTAAATTAAATATTCAAAATATCATAATTATTAAACTTAATGAAAGCAGTAAAACCTAGATTAATTATCCCTGCTCTGGAACTCATTTTTAATTGATCGTTAATTAAAGGTCTCGAGTGAGTCGTATTACTCAATGAATCATCCACACACATCTCTGAGGTCACCTTCCCCCCCCCTCTCCTCCCTGGAAAGTGTGTATGATATCATTCACAAATTTGAACATCATACCTGAAAGAATGCCAGATATTAATCCCAATTATATTCACTGTTATCTTGCTAATTCTTCGTGTTATTTTAAATTAAATGACATTATTTAATAGAATAATACCAACGGGGTCATCAGCCATGTTGTTATATTAGAAAAAATTGATTATTACTTGGATAAAAACTAGAGATATATAGAGAAAGTGGCCACCTGCCTTCAGGGGGACGCGTGTTCTGGGCGGTGATTGGTGGAGGCGCGGGAACGTTAGCCTGGCCGCTCCCACACTCTGGTCTGCTAGTGTTTACCTCGGTGCGCACGTGAGTGCTGGAGGGAGAGGGTGTGGTGCGTGTTGCTCTCCCAGTGAAGTGCTATTTCCTATACTACGGCTCTTATATATGAAACTGAAATATTCACCCATCATTACTCTGATCTTAATATTAATTAATAAGGTGCTAACTGGAAATTAGTCTAATTTACATGGAAACTGGTTAAAAAAATTACTTTAATTACACTAAACTGAGTGTTGTATCACCCAGTCTATTGGATTACAAAATATTATGGTGAAGTTAAGTGTTGTTTTAGCAGTGAACTAAGGCGCCTTGTAGGATATGTTCCCCTGAAACGCACTAAGGAAGGATACAGTACCCTCACCACCTCTAAGGTAAGATCTTGGGATCACTACCTTGAGGTGCTTCCGGGGCTTAGTGTCCCCGCGGCCCGGTCGTCTACCAGGCCTCCTGGTAAGATAAGGTAAGATCTTACTAAGGTAAGATCTTGGGATCACTAAGGTAAAATCAACGTTTTCAAACACCCGAAGCTCTCAGGAGAGTGACATTACCAAAAGATATTAGCTTATGGTGATGGTTAAGAATGGCGGTGTCATTCTTATGGCTAAGAATGGTAGTGAAGCCTCGCCTTGGGGAGGCTTTAGGCTCTCCTCTGGGAGGCTTCAGGCTCTCCTTGGGGAGGCTTCAGGCTCTCCTCGGGGAGGCTTCAGGCTCTCCTCGGGGAGGCTTCAGGCTCTCCTCGGGGAGGCTTCAGGCTCTCCTCGGGGAGGCTTCAGGCTCTCCTCGGGGAGGCTTTAGGCTCTCCTCGGGGAGGCTTCAGGCTCTCCTCGGGGAGGCTTCAGGCTCTCCTCGGGGAGGCTTCAGGCTCTCCTCGGGGAGGCTTCAGGCTCTCCTCGGGGAGGCTTCAGGCTCTCCTCGGGGAGGCTTCAGGCTCTCCTCGGGGAGGCTTCAGGCTCTCCTCGGGGAGGCTTCAGGCTCTCCTCGGGGAGGCTTCAGGCTCTCCTCGGGGAGGCTTCAGGCTCTCCTCGGGGAGGCTTCAGGCTCTCCTCGGGGAGGCTTCAGGCTCTCCTCGGGGAGGCTTCAGGCTCTCCTCGGGGAGGCTTCAGGCTCTCCTCGGGGAGGCTTCAGGCTCTCCTCGGGGAGGCTTCAGGCTCTCCTCGGGGAGGCTTCAGGCTCTCCTCGGGGAGGCTTCAGGCTCTCCTCGGGGAGGCTTCAGGCTCTCCTCGGGGAGGCTTCAGGCTCTCCTCGGGGAGGCTTCAGGCTCTCCTCGGGGAGGCTTCAGGCTGCTATAATTTACAATGGATTTTTGAGTAGTTCGGGCGTCTCTTGGGGGGACTCACCCCTCTGGGGTGAGGGCTTCGATAAATTTACCCCACGGGGGAAGAATAAGATAAACTCCTGGGACACACGGCATGGACAATTCGTACGGTCATGTGGTGTTCAGTGTGTTCAGGGGTTCACTGTGTGGTCCGTCTTACCTTGCGATGATTTCAGGGCTCAACGTCCCTGCGGCCCGGTCGTCGACCAGGCCTGCTGGTTGCTGGACTGGTCAACCAGGCTGTTGAACGCGGCTGCTTGCAGCCTGATGTTTGAGTCACATCCTGGTTTATCAGGTATCCTTTGGAGGTGTTATCCAGTTCTCTCTTGAACACTGTGAGGGGTCGGCCAGTTATGTCCCTTATGTGTAGTGGAAGCGTGTTGAACAGTCTCGGGCCTCTGATGTTGATAGTTCCCTCAGAGTACCTGTTGCACCTCTGCTCTTCAACGGGGGTATTCTGCACATCCTGTCATGCCTTCTGGTCTCATGTGATGTTATTTCTGTGTGCAGGTTTGGGACCAGCCTTTCAACTATTTTCCAATTGTAAATTATTATGTATCTCTCCCGCCTGCGCTCAAGAAAATACAGATTTAGGCTCTTAAGTCGGTCCCAATAGTTTAGATGTTTTACTGAATGGACTCCAGCAGTAAAGGATCTCTGCACGCTCTCCAGGTCAGCAATTTCTCCAGCTTTGAAAGGGGCTGTCATTGTGCAGCAGTACTCCACTCTAGAGAGCACTAGCGTCTTGAAAAGTATCATCATTGGTATAGCAGTATAGCATCTCTAGTGTGAAAAGTTCTTGTTATCCAACCTGTCATTTTTCTTGCAGTTGTGACGGCTACTTTACTGTGTTCCTTAAAGGTAAGATCTTCCGACATGTGTACACCCAACTCCTTCACATGGCTTTACGACGTCTGGGGCCCTTGAACTGTACCTTCCCATCTCAGTAGTTCCCTCGGGGTCATGGCTGGAAATGTATTGTGTTGGGATGAACGAGTTTCATAAGGTTAGAGGTCACAGGGGAGGCACTCCAGTGGAGGCACTAGGGTCAGAGGTCAGTTGCGTGACCTTAAATCTTAGGATTCCATTCTGGTGTTAAGGTGAGGACGCCATTCCTGCAGTGTTGACCTAGTATTATTATTTGTTTTTGTGTTGTTTATACTGTTGCTTGTTTTGACGCCTCTTGAGCGTTATGTAAACAAAACAAGAGAGGCGGTGTTGGGCGTTCCGGTCTAGGATGATTGGTCACCTCACCACTTGGTTGATTGACCACCTCACCACTTGGTTGATTGACCACCTCACCACTTGGTTGATTGACCACCTCACCACTTGGTTGATTGACCACCTCACCACTTGGTTGATTGACCACCTCACCACTTGGGTGATTGACCACCTCACCACTTGGTTGATTGACCACCTCACCACTTGGTTGATTGACCACCTCACCACTTGGTTGATTGACCACCTCACCACTTGGTTGATTGACCACCTCACCACTTGGTTGATTGACCACCTCACCACTTGGTTGATTGACCACCTCACCACTTGGTTGATTGACCACCTCACCACTTGGTTGATTGACCACCTCACCACTTGGTTGATTGGCCACCTCACCACTTGGTTGATTGGCCACCTCACCACTTGGTTGATTGGCCACCTCACCACTTACTCGATCACTTCACCACTTACTCCACCACTTCACCACTTGCTCGACCACTTCACCACTTACTCCACCACTTCACCACTTGCTCGACCACTTCACCACTTACTCCACCACTTCACCACTTACTCCACCACTTCACCACTTACTCCACCACTTCACCACTTACTCTACCACTTCACCACTTACTCCACCACTTCACCACTTACTCCACCACTTCACCACTTGCTCGACCACTTCACCACTTGCTCGACCACTTCACCACTTACTCCACCACTTCACCACTTACTTCACCACTTGCTCGACCACTTCACCACTTACTCCACCACTTCACCACTTACTCCACCACTTCACCACTTGCTCCACCACTTCACCACTTGCTCGACCACTTCACCACTTGCTCGACCACTTCACCACTTGCTCGACCACTTCACCACTTGCTCGACCACTTCACCACTTACTCGACCACTTCACCACTTACTCCACCACTTCACCACTTACTCCACCACTTCACCACTTACTCCACCACTTACTCCACCACTTCACCACTTACTCCACCACTTCACCACTTACTCGACCACTTCACTACTTACTCCACCACTTACTCCACCACTTCACCACTTACTCGACCACTTCACCACTTACTCCACCACTTTACCACTTACTCCACCACTTCACCACTTACTCCACCACTTCACCACTTACTCCACCACTTCACCACTTACTCCACCACTTCACCACTTACTCCACCACTTCACCACTTACTCCACCACTTCACCACTTACTCCACCACTTTACCACTTGCCACAGTAACACTGGGGGTAATCTTATATTTGCATTAACTTTACACAAAGGTGAACAATGCTTTCACTTTAATTGCTTAGCTGCCTTAAAGGTAAATATGTTAATTGCTCTTATTAGCAATTAGTTATCTTGAGGTTATCTTGAGATAATTTCGGGGCTTTAGTGTCCCCGCGGCCCGGTCCTCGACCAGGCCTCCACCCCAGGAAGCAGCCCGTGACAGCTGACTAACTCCCAGGTACCTATTTACTGCTAGGTAACAGGGGCATTCAGGGTGAAAGAAACTTTTGCCCATTTGTTTCTGCCTCGTGCGGGAATTGAACCCGCGCCACAGAATTACGAGTCCTGCGCGCTATCCACCAGGCTACGAGGCCCCCTGTGATTGAGGATCACGAGGGGTGATTGTGTTAATTGCTAAATTACCACATCCACAACCACCACCACAACCACCACCACCACAACCACCACCATAACCACCACATCAACCATCGTAGTGTCACCAACAAGTATTCCGTGTAAAGTGATGGAACAGGTGACCAGGTTGAGAACAGTTGACCACTGGGAGAAGATAACCTCCGTGACAGGTAGACAGCATACCTACTTGTCATCACCTCCAAAAGTCGTGCCTGACAAATTTAACAGAGTTCAATGACAGTGTTGCTAAAATAGGGCGGGAACAAGAAGGCTGGGTAGACTGTATTTTCCTAGACTGTCAGAAAGCATTTGACATTGTTCTCGTGTACGGCTGGTGTTCAGAATAACGTTATCTTCGATAACAACCGTGAAATCAGTTTTAACACTGAACAATTAAGCCCACATTTCTAACGTCATAGAAGTCACAGGGATTCGGCATAGTAGCCGATCCTTCTTAAAGAGGGGCATGGGGATGGGGGTCGACCCCAACCACCCTCTAACACTGCCAAATCATCATACAAAGTTTGGTGAGTCTAGCCCTAAGCGTTTGACCTCTGACCTCGAACAAACGTTCTTACAGAAATACATTTATATTCCAAGTGAAGTGAAGCACAAGTTCCAGCGACGTCCTATTTTCCCAATTTCCTCCAATTTGCGAAATTCAGAATCCCTGGCCCCCCTCCCCCCTGTACTCTGACACTCCGAACACCACTCAGAGTACAGCCAGCCCAACCCTAAGCCACTCACCACCGGACGAACACTTAATTAATTCTCTCACACAGCATTATTTACGGGTTGAATGATAACGTTGGTGGTCATTAGGTCTGCGGGGGTCGTTAAGTCCCCCTGGGAAGAGCCAATGGGGTGGCAGATGGTGAAGGGCAGCATAGAGCCGCGTATTTACAACCCGGGCTAATTTACACGCGTATTGTGCCATTTACAAGTGTTTAGGGGTAATGGTATGATGGTGATTTATTGTGGTATGATGGTGATTTACTGTGGTATGATGGTGATTTACTGTGGTATGATGGTGATTTACTGTGGTATGATGGTGATTTATTGTGGTATAATGGTGATTTACTGTGGTATGATGGTGATTTATTGTGGTATAATGGGGATTTACTGTGGTATGATGGTGATTTACTGTGGTATGATGGTGATTTACTGTGGTATGATGGTGA